AAAATAGAGAGAGAAGAAATGTGCAGCCAATCAATGTTCCCGTTTCAATATGTCATAACACCAAGGGGGAAATGGTGTTCATGTTGTTGTGACCATGTTATGAGATGCCACATCAACAAAAATATCACTTTTTGTTGTCCATACCGTATGCTCTAAAGCAGTTATGTTAATGGAAATCCATTAAATGGGTGTAAAATGACAAAAGTGCCTCTTTTTTTAATATTTGAGGGATCCTTTTCTGTAAACTATTAAGAAAATGTTCTAAAGCCATGGCTCCTTCCATGGAGCTTCATGTTTCTTTGTCTCTCCCTTGACAACAGCTCATTTGATGTTTTCCTTCCATTGTCGACAATAACTTCAACAACGACAACAGTTTCAACGACCAAGTCTCCACAATCCATTATCGGAACCCACATCCGTTGCCACCCCTTACCTATGTCGCCTACCTTCTTCTCTTTACTAGTTCGATGACCATGCACCACGTCATCACCATCGTTCCTCGTCTGCTTCTCTCTTTCACCAAATCTTCCTCCCTTTCCAAGTTTGTATATATGTAGAGTTGAAACTTACGTGGAATTTATTAGAAAATACTAGCTAGTTGTGTCTTTTTGTATTTATCCAAGGGTGTTTTTGTAACTTTTTATTCTATTTATTCAATTTCTCTATGCCTAATTGGGCATAAGAGAGTTTTTGTGAGTTACGCTCATATGGTATCAGAGCGTTAACCAATCCTCTTCCCCTCTTCTGTTCTTTCTTTCTCATCTTCATCTTCTTCATGACTAGTTCATCTTCTGATTCCCTCATCTCCATGAATACAGTTCTACATCTCATCTCCAATCGTCTCACACCTTCAAACTACCTGTTGTGGAAGAATCAAATTCTTCCCCTTCTCTCTTATCAGAACTTGTTGCCCTTCGTTGATGGCACCTCCTATGCGTTGTCGCCTACATTAATCATTGACGGCACATCGACTACAAACCTTGATTTTGCTGCTTGGCAATCCGCTAATCAAAGGGTTGTTATTCTCCTTCAGGCCTCCCTATCTGAAGAAGCTTTCTCTGAAATTGTTGGTATATCCTCTACACGCGACATCTGGTTGGCCTTAGAAGATGCTTACAGTAACTCCTCCGTCGAGTGCATTTAGAATCTACGTGATCAACTTAGACAGATCATCAAGGGTTCATCCTCTGTTGTAGAGTTTGATCGAAAATTTCATGCCCTATGTGATCAATTGGCAAATATTAGTAAACCTGTTGAATCTATATGCCCAAGAATCATTATGGAGTGATATTGCTAATAATATATGATCCTATAGGGTCACACCTTTATCAAGTTGACACATTTTGTGTAACGCCCTGATTCTCAGTATTGATTTAAATAAGAATTCTTTTGTTTCCAAGGTGTACTCGACGAGTTTGTTACCCTACTCGTCGAGTAGCATAGGGTTGGTTTGCAAATTTAGTGGCCTACTCGCCGAGTCCAAAAAGGGACTCGACGAGTAGGAGCTGGCAGATGAAACCCTAAATCTCGGGGTTTTGCACCCTATTTATAGAATCATATGTCCCTTTGGCCTCTTTACATCCCCTTGAGATTACAGAGAACCCTAATCTGTGTGGTGATTCATTCTAATGTGTTTTAAGCTTTGAAAGAGAATCCTTGGAAAAAAGAGCTTGGAGGGCAAGAGGCTAGAAGCAAGGAAAGTGTGGGGAATCAGAAATCTACCTCTGTTAGCATCCGTTAAAGGTATCAAGTCACCACCTTTAACTCATTTCTTTCTAGACCTCTTTTGGGTGAGATTTAGGGTTATTTTGGCTTGGTTATGATGATATTGTGGTGTATGAGCTAGATCTGAAGTTGTAACTTCAGATCTGGAGCCTTCTTGGGATTTAGATTCAAAAAGTTTGAGCTTTGGTCATGAATGAAGCCTCCCTTGAGTGTAAAGCCCCTTTATAAGCTTGGATTTGTCATTTAGAGCCTTTTTAGCCATGCATGCACGTAAAGTTTGCAACTTTGCGTGATAAGCAAGCCTAGGGAAGTTGGATCTGTAATTTGGGGCCTTGGCATGGCTCAAAAGGTGTTTGCATGGTTAAAGGACTGAAGGGACTTGACGAGTCGCATAGTCGACTCGGCGAGTCACATGAAGATAGGCATAGAACTCGACGAGTTGGATGAACAGCTCGGTGAGCCAAATAAAGATTGTCATAGACTCGACGAGTTGGATAAACTCGGCGAGTCGGTTAATGTTTCCCCAAATTGATGAATACATGTGAACCTGTCGAGTTTCAAGAAGGAAAACCCGACGAGTGGCCTTAGGGCTTCGATCGCGAACCATAGGAACTTGACGAGTCACTTCGGGGACTCGACGAGTGGACGAGTATTCCGAGGAACTCAACGAGTAGTCGAGGGTACTCAACGAGTAAGGGTCAACATGGACTGTTGACCTTGACTGTGACTTTGACTTTGACCAGGGGATTGACTAGTTGACTTATGGGGTACCTTGGAAGATTGAGAACTTATGAGTATGGGTCTATTATGATAATAGGTGGTGGAGTTGTTGTCGTGATCTGAGAGTTGGAGTTTAGTTACCAAGCTGACATTTGCAAGGTGAGTTATCCTCACTATACTAAGGGGTCTAAGGCACCAAGGTCGGCCTACTGGATTTGATATCCTAGCAGTTATTAATATGCTGAGTTGAGTTAGTGATGTATGCCAATTGATATGCTAGTCGGGTAAATCTGTAGGACTACTTGTGATATTGTATGATTATATGTATGTGCATTAATTATGATACATGTTGATATGTTATGTGGAATGGTTGAGGTGAGACTGTTTCGTGCGGTAATCCAACAAACCCAGGAGCATTCCAGTTACAGGCTAAGGGAGACTCGTATTGTGGGCTCGATGGCAAGCCAGATGTGAGTTGTGGGCCGAAAGCAATCCAGACTCACACTGTGGGCCCAGAGGGTAATACAGTCTGTAAAGCTGTGGACTAGGGGTGCAAACGAACCAAGCTACTCGTGAGCTACTCGATATCGAATCGTTAAAAGCTCGACTCAAGATCGATTTTAAACGAGCCCGAGCCGAGCTCGAGCTTAATATTAGGCTTGTTTATTAAACGAGCTCGAGCTCAAGCTTCTTTTACTTGGCTCGATTAGGCTCGCGAGCCTAAACGAGCCTACATATATATAATAAAAAAATTAGTTTTATTTTTATATATTAAAATAAATATTAACTTAATAAATACCATTTTAGGAAATTAGAGTATACCGTATACGAGCCGAGCCCAAACCGAGCCCGAGCCCATACAATTCTTAACGAGTCGATCTCGAGCTTCGTACCACAAGGCTCGACACGAGCTCGAGCTTGAGCTCGAGCCTATAAATATTTAAACGAGCCGAGCCCGAGCATGGTCAGGCTCGAGCTCGACTCGGCTCGTTTGCAGCCCTACTGTGGACCCATTTTATGTTGTTTCAGTTTGTTATGTTATGAAGTTGCTTACATGATTATGTGAACTGTATGTGTATCGGTATTTTGGGGGAACTCACTAAACTTTCGGGCTTACAATTTCAGTTTATTGTTTTGAGGTACTTCAAGAGATCGGGGTAAGGCTAAGGCGTGATCGTACAGCTCCTTACTTTTTATGAATTTGTTTCTGGGATACTCTGATATGATATTTTTTAAAACAATTTTGTAATGCTTAATGGATTTGAAATGTTTTTAAAAAGTTTAAATTGACTCGAATTTTTTTTATGGGTGTTACATTTTGTATATTTATTATAAATATGATTATTAATAAATAATATTAATTATTGTATTTTAATTAGGGAATAATTATTGTTTTGTAAAAATAATAATTATAAGAAAGTATAACTAGTTATAATATCATGTGGTATGAATTAATAAGTCGTGCACAATATTTTGGACTAGTTGAATTCTTTAGTCTTTTACCTAAAAACAAAGTTTATATTTTATAAACTTAGAGTTTATAAATTTAAAGAATCATCCTCTTTTCAAGAGTTATGGTCAAAAATATTTAAAGTATGGGGTTGCTTGTAAACCTCTATGTTTTGTCTCTAGAAATATTTTATAGTATTTTAATCAAAATACCTTCCTTTGCATGGACTATATAAAAGATGTATGAAGATCAATAACCATAGAATCACACACACACACACACACACACACACACACATATATATATATATATATATATATATATATATATATATATATATATATATATATATATATATCTTTGTCTTTACTATTATATAAAGCATATTCAACATTTCTTGAATTTTAAGAGGTACAAGATACAAAGCTTTTTGTACAAATCAATTATGCATAACAAAACCATTAATACTTACCAAAACTTTAAATACTTGAATTAAGGAAGGTTATTAAAAAATTAATTTGGAGCAAAATAAAATTTTAAAATATTATATCCATCAAAATAAGTTAATTTATATTTTTTAAACTAGATGCCGATAATAATTAATTTACATCAAATGTATAAACATACAATATAAATATAAGTTCTAAACATAAATATTTTAATTAAAAGTGGTAATTTTTCTTATTACATAATAACTAATAACAAAATCTAATAATTATTTCCCGTAAGAAAACTATTAGCCCAAAAACCTATATATCGTCGTTGCTTTGCGCAGGCACACATCTAGTGTATATATATATATATATATATATATATATATATATATATATATATATATATATATATATATATATATATATATATAATGACGAACATTGCTAATTATTATATGGTAGAATTATTATTATATGGCAGTTAATGGTTCTTACATATAAATTTATTAAATGATAACACGGAACCATTGGTGAGTGAGTGGGGTCAAATCCCTCTATTTGGAAATGGATCGTAAAAGCCCTATTTTTACAAAGCAAAAAACTCTTGGAAATGAGACTATCTTTGCAATGATAAAACCAAGGAAAACCACTATTTTCAAATTTTATAGTGACTCAATCTTACTTTTGGTTTTTTAATGAGTAACCAGTAGATGTTCAAAAATAGTAGTAGCACTAGGATGTTGCATATTAACAAAACCAATGTAATTTTTTACATCATTTGTCCATTTTTTTTACTTTGGTGGTGGACGCAAAATATCATCAATTTTTTCCTTGATTTGTCTCCCAACTTTGCGCACATTTTGCGCTACCTCTGATGCAGCTACATTTGCATTTCTTTTAAACCTGTTTTTTATTTATTAAAAAAAATCAAAAAGAACCCATCACTTTTCATTGAGATAATCTGATATGGGTTTCTCATAAAACGAGTAAATTGCATTTTTGGTCCCTTAGTTTATTCAAAACTTCAGTTTTAGTGTCTAAGCTTGCTCAAAAACAGTTACTTCTTTTGCAATTGTGGTGCCTACAGAGATTAGGGACTTACACCACACCAAAACTGAAGAAGAAAAGTATTTTGGACCAAAACAGAAAGTTTTGAAAAAACTCAGTGACCAAAAATGTAATCTATCTTTTTTATTAAATTTAAAATGCAACATTTATTGAATAAAAAGATACATAACACAAAAACTTGCCTGGTAAAGGAATCGGAATCAGTGGCTTTTTCTTTAGCATAGTAAGCCTGAAAATTGAACAGTTGATTCTGTTGTAAGAGAGCTTGTTATCCACTTATCCATATCCAATTTTTGTGTGTGTGTGTGTGTGTGTGAGAGAGAGAGAGAGAGCCTGGTATCCAGCAATACAGATTGGCGCCTCCCTTTGATGCTGCATATCATCAACATACAGGGACTCACCAAGACAAGCGTATATAAAATGAAAGTCTTTTGTAACGTTCATCTCTGGTTTTCCATAGTAACTGCCAGGAACTAATCATAAAAGTTCAAATTAATTCATTAAATGTATGTTCAACTTTGAAATCATTCACAATTCTATGATTTACAAACCAATAATCTGAATTCCAAAGCATTCACGATGAGAGAGAGAGAGAGAGAGAGAGAGAGAGAGAGAGAGAGAGAGTACCAATTTCAGTACAGGAGAAGCCGAGGCAAACAGGGTTACCAGAATTGAATCTTCTTAGGAATGAGGAATAGAGCAAACACCCTGTGCATGCTTTGCCCATTCTGAAAAAACCTTCATCTTTTAAACGCTGTATTTCAGCGTCCATATCACCATCTTTGGAGTTAGGGTTTGTCCCTTTCATTTCTTGGCCTCCTTCTGCCATCTTCTAATCTCGTTGATGAATGTGCAAGAGTCTGCCAACATTCCATTTCCAATGGCAACATATATGTCAAAATCCATCATTGTTTCATTTGCAATGCCAAAAAATGTGCAAAACGCTATCAACAATTCATTGTGGACTCAGATTGCATCTTAGAAAAACAGCTTCTGAAATCGTTCTTCATCCCGATTGAAACCCAAAAAGAAAAACGAAATACTTACCGTAGATTAAGGGAAGTCGTTCGGCTTTCAACACCTTTACGTTCTCGTTTGATTTCAGTGCTTCCCGCGTTCCACACTACGTCATCCCGTTCCCAAGAGAAAACACGAACTAGGGTTTTTTTACCTTTCGCACAGTACAAATCATACAAAACTGATTTTTACCGTCTTTATTAGTTTATTATATAAATTAGATCCTACTCAGCATCCTATCCGGACTCATTTAGCCACATCAGCCATAGCTTTTTAAGGAAGAAACCTGGTGTAAATAATTGTTCTTTTTAATTTTTTATCCAAGGGTTTTCTAAAACATTTTAAAATATTAGGTTATATTTTTATTACATTAATAACCTTTTATTTAGTTCATAGTTAATCTTATAAAATACAACAAACACATATTAATACTATTTCAATGTGTTGAAGTTTTAATATGAACACGATACAAACGACGTGTTTTTACACTTGATATGACATAAAGTCATAAACACGAAATCGAATTCATCTCAATCTCATTTAGGGTTGTGTATTTTTGTCCTCTTGTATTATTGATCAACACCCCACCCCTATTTTTAAGAACCAAACTCCATTTCAACAAGTATTAATGATAATCCAGATAATTTCATGTGGTGTAATTTGAACACAAAATAAGAATTTAATGGTTGTATAAAAAAATATAAAATATGAACAAAAATTAAAATTGTTTACCCTCTTTAGTCATTTACCGATCTCATATATTAGGTATATGCCAATTGGGCATTAATCTACTACAACCGTTGGTAATTATATAATTTGAAAAATAAGAGTTTAATGCATACAATCCAAGAACACTTTCATAAGCCAAAGATGCTTCTTTTGATGTTGGGGCCCACCTTTTGAATTCAAGGTCTTGAGGTCGCAAACGAGTCCATAATTTGATCTTCCATGATTGAAGTCTATAACGTGTAAATTGAGATTGGAAGCATTAAAGAAACAAAGACGTATACACACATTCACCAGCTTTATAAACCTAAGAATGCTTTCATATACATACAAACCTTATACGCGTGTAATACACACATATAAGTCAAAAATATGGAATCCAATCATGGTGAAAAATATTGGGGTTTTCTTTACTAAGGCACATGTGTTAGGTAATTTTTGATTACTTTACACTAATTAATTTATTAGTATAAATTAGATGATTAAATACATTCCAAGTTATTGGGGGATAGCATATTGGAAGGACCCGGTATTAGAAATGTAATCCATGTTTTATTGATACCCAATTTGGTGGAAACGTCGAATCCAACACAATTATTGCCTTATTAATAATGTATTTGTTAGGAAAATAACAAACAAGAGTCAGCAGTTTGATAGAGAATTGTAGTTAGTGAACTTAGCTACTAAAATGAGCACTGAGCCACTGATAGTGGTGGGTCCACCGAATTCTCCTCCTAAACATTTAAAAAAAGGAAATAGGGAGAAACATTAACCCTGATATAACAAAAGACTTAATAGGCGTGTTTGGCACGGAGCTTTTGGAAGCGTTTGGGAGCTTCTAGCTTTTAGCTTTTGACAAAACGCTCTAGTTTAAACAAAAAGCTTCGTTTGACAGTACGAGCGTTTAGCTTTTAGTTTTATCAAAACGCTCCGATTCTAAAAGCTACTTCATGTAGCTTTTAACAAAACGCTCCGGAGCTTTTGAAATCAATTTCCATAATTACCCTTAAAAATATATTTATATACTTTTTTATTTTTAATCAATTGTCCTTTTATGTAATTTTATATATTTCAAAAGCTTCCAGCTCCTTTTGCCAAACATTCATATAACAAATAAAAGCTACAGCTTTCCGCTACTAGCTACACGCTACCAGCTAACCGCTACCCGCTTCCAGCTAACAGCTACTTTTGCCAAACACGCCTAATATGTTAAAATGGGATAATTCTACAAACAATAATAGCGATGCATATAGATATACCCCAACTCGCATATTTTATCCATTCTACAAACTAGGCAATGTATGCCATCAAATAATGTCACAAGGGGTAGCACACCATGCTTATGCATATGAGGGTTTTCTAGAATCATGCCCATGACTCTTTAGATGGGTATTCTACAAATAAGGGATCTCAAAGTTATTTGTCCACTTAAGTCAACCCAATCCTAATATGAATGCACATAGAAGGATCCTCTAAAAATCATTTCAAACTATGCATAGAATATCACAAAAAAGAGTTTCATGAATGCAAACAAGTACCATTGGTACACACAAAGCAAGCATGATCATAATATATTATATCAAACCAAAAACCATCATATAATACATCAAAATAAAGAATCAATAATCAAAGTAAGTATAGGGGACTTGCACTCTCGAAAAAACTCACCTTAGCCAAATCTTGTGATCCCCAACTCTTTAAGGTTCAAGTTTCTTTATTTATACCTCCTTTACATCACCTAATAAGTATGTATTAAAGGTTACAAGATGACCAAAATACTCATATATAGGTACCGACTCAACTTACAAAGTTTTCTAAAGCTCAAGGCTGCTCGGCCCAACCCTGTACAACTTAGAATGCCAAAAATGTTGATTTTTACCCATTTGGCCATTATACTTTGTGTAGGGTCTTAATGTTTTAAGAATGGTTCCGATAGACTCTTAATCACTTAATAATGATTACGAAACTTCTAGAATAGATCAAGATAGGTAAACATGATGATTCACATCAATCCATTGATGATTAGATGACTAGGAACTCAACAAACTTAAAAAAACAACAATTGAGAGATAATCACAAATTAACTCAACTAGATTGATTATAATCTTAAAATCATCAATGAAATTAATTTGACAAGTTAAAAACAATATTACGTCTAAGCCAACCATTCAATTCATGATTTCATCCACCATAAATGATTCAAATTGGAGTTATAAGGCTTTTTTCTTATAAAACATTTGCGTGTTCATTGGATCATTAAACCATTTTCAAAATCTTCAGTTACATGTAATTTTGAAATCATTACTTATTTTCCAACATTTTACAAAATGATTTGAGATTACCATTGTTTAGAAACTGGTTTAATCCATTCCGGTGGTAGGTCACCAGTGGAATCATCAATTCCAATCACATGAAAACTATAGGACTTAGGAGCTTATCATAAGCATCGACACAAATTTATATTTAAATTCATGACTCTAATTAGAACATATACTAGAGTTCAAAAACTTCAATTACAAAGTAGAGTCATGTTCTTCGAGCTTAGGTACAACTTCAAACACATGGCTAGGGGTTCCAAATCCCTAAATCCATGACTAACGATGGAGTTAATCCTTCCTTGGGGGTGATGATCAGTTAGTGTTGTAGAGTACAATTTAAGCATCAAAAACTCATTAAAACAATGAATAAATCTATAAATCCGGGTCTAGGAAAGATAAGGTTAGGAATACCCTGAAATCTCAATCAAAACTCCATTCAAGCATCTATGAGGGAGATGTTGCATGGAGATTGAATCAAATAAGGGAATAAAGTTTAGAAACTCCATTAAAACATAGAATCAAACTTGAATTTTATATTTGACATCATGACACAAACCATAGATAATGGAATGAAGAAATGAAGGGAGAAAACTATCTTCCAAGCAAGGATGTGAAATCACTAATTCATCAAAAGGCTTCAAATACAGCATAGGAGGGGAGAGAAATGATCATATTCACATGTTGGTTTGTACTTTAGTCCAATTACTCTTTGCATGGCTTTTTTTAAAAATCAAGTCTCAAAAAAATCGATTCCTTCGATTCGGATGTAAACCCATTTTAATGCGTTTACTTTTTTTTTTCTGGAAGTAATGGTTATAGTGTCCAGGTTTCATTTTGTTCAAGGGACTTAATTTCCTTTTGCATGTATTCTTTCTATGGAGGATTCTGATGGGCATATTAGAAGAATTTTGGGTCATATTGAAGGGCATAGCCGACAAAAAGGCTTTACGTGGAGGAGAAAACTTTTCCATAAGAAACAAAGTAAAGATAATGGTCATTCTGAAGGGCATAGCATAAATAATTAACCATATTTTGGAAAATTTGTAAGCATAGTTTATCACTTTATCATGAAACTATAATAAGGTAAGTACCAAGTAACGACATAACATGCTCATGAATCTTGAAAACTATTGTGTTGTTGAGATTAGTCCATGATTTCCCAGTCAATCATAATAGAGTTAAGTAAGATAAGCCCTAACAAAGGGTTTTTAGTTGCATATGTACAGAAGGCTTTATTATATACGAGATTAGATTACAGCCCTCCCTCCTAAATTCAAAACCATGGATGCCACGTTGGATCCATCATGCACAAGTTTCTTGGAGTAAGTGCAGCTTCCACAAGCTCAGTCACACCTCTCTGCACCGACTGCGGTGGGTCCACTGAATTCTCCTCCTAAACATCAAACATCATAAATTAAAAACCCCTCCTATAATAAAAATAGGAAAAAGGGTAGGAACATTAACATACCTCTTCTGAAATGAACTGAGGTGCAATTCCATTGATCCGCTGAATCACATGCTCCACATTTGTAGTAATCTTTTGTCTAAACTCAACAGGGTTCAAACTCCCCCCACCAACAACCGGTGCCAATGGCATTCCAAGTGGTCTCCTCCACGACCATGACAACAACTCATCACGGAAAAACATGGCTAAATGATGCCACAGATGTTGACTTTGCTGCATTATTATTATAAAAGTCAAACCTCCCAATCACAATCACAATCACAGTCTGTTTATGGTTCAGGGTTTAGGGTTTAGGGTTTAACTAACCTTGGGGGAAACAACAGCTTGAGCAGCTGCACACATGGCAGACACGATCAACCCTTCGACACCAAAATGAGAGAAAAACATCTGCAAATTTCTTGTCAACCGGAAAGGAACCGGTTCGTTGAACTCGATCATACCGTTGGCGTCATAAGCCGGATGGAAATCCGTTTGAAAGATTTTCCCGGTGTTTTTCGCGAATAGAATCTTGTTAGGAGACCTTCCGCCTATTTGCAACATGAAAGAAGTGAAACTCGAGAGTGCCAGCTGTATCGCAAACTGTTTCTTGAAAGCCCACATGTGATTCCCACTCAGAAGCGTTTTGTACATGTACTGCGAGAATATATTGTCAAAAACGTAGTC